ATTCAGAATTTCTACTGCTGGTGGGGAGTGCGTCCTTGTTTGTCCAAGATCGCACCTAGCAGGGGTTCACAGCAGCTCCCAGGGGCGCCCTGTGGCTAGATGGGCTCTGGGTACCTGCTTGTTGGAAATGCGCGACTATGGTGGTGAGTTTGCCAGCGCAGAGCTCTGAGGCACTCTGAGGGGCCCTGGCGCTAAAGATGGGCAGCTGGGTTGTCTGTGGGCAGTTATTCAGGAAGAGGGAATTTAGAACTTCTACTGCGGGCAGTGCGCCCTTGTCTGTTCAAAATCACACCCAGCAGGGGTTCACAGTGGCATCCAAGAGCTGCCTATGGAGTAGTGTGCCCTGGAAGTCTGCACACTGAAAACGCGTGAATGTTGGAAACGCGCGAATGTGGAGTCCGGAGTTCTGCTGCTGGGGAGGGAGGAAGTTGCACTTACTGCTGCAGGAGCTGTGCACCTTTGGAGGTGGAGATCCCAGGGTCTGCGGGTCTGTGGGTGGGGCAGCAGGATTTTGGCTGGAGTAGCTGCTGGGTCACGGGCAGTGTCCAAGGCCTGTCTGGGTGGTGGTGCTGATGAGTTCCTAGAAGAGGCCACTCTCCCCTTAAAGATGGCGTGGGTTCCGTGCCTGAGTCCCGCAGTCCAGGGAGTGCCTTCAACAGTGGTAATCTTTCCCTGTCCAAGAGAGCCTGGTCTGCCAGCCTCTGCTGCTCCTGCCGGATTTAACTGTCCCTCACTCACTCACACGCACACCACACACATCCACACACTCTCCTTTCATCCCCTCACTCACTCACTTCCTATCCCTCACCTCTGTCCTGCCAGCCGCCATCTTCTAAATGGTATTATTATTATTATTATTATTATTATTATTCTCATCCTGCAGATAAGGATACAGAGGCTCAGAGCATTTCATTGACTTTTCCAAGGTTACATGTCTAGTAGGTGGCAAATCCAGGACTCAAACACAGGTCTTTTTTACTCCAAGTACCAAATAAAGAATGAAGTTAAAAAGACCCACTGGGTCCTAGCTGGTTTGGTTCAGTAGCTAGAGCGTTGGCCTGTGGACTAAAGAATCCTGGGTTTGATTCCAGTCAAGGGAACATGCCTGGGGTTGTGGGCTAGATCCCTGGTGGGGGGTATGTACAAGAGGCAGCCAACCAATGATTCTCTCTCATCATTGATGTTTCCATCTCCCTCTTCCTTCCTCTCTATAATAAATAAAAAAATATATTTTTTAAAAAAGGCCCACTGGGACCAGGATGTGATTGGGAGGCTTGAAACTTTAGTCTGAAGTTTTTTGTTTTTAAATATGGCTTTTATTGACTTTAAAGAGAGAGAGGGAAAGAGAGAGAGAAACATCAATGAGAGAGAATCATGGATAAGCTGCCTCCTGCACGCCCCTACTGGGGATTGAGACAGCAACCCGGGCATATGCCCTGACTTGGAATCAAACCATGATCTCCTGGTTCATAGATCCATGCTCAACCACTGAGCTACACCAGCCAGGCTAGTCTGAAGTTTACTGAGCAGGGCAATGTCAGGATCAGAGCTGTGCTTCAGGAAAGTTAATCTTGCAGCAGTGTATAAAGACTTGGCTTTAAAACTCTGGTGAGGAGGTTTTCACAATAATCCAGATGAGAGGGAATAAAAATGACTCGAATATCAAACTTGTGGTCATTTGAATGCTGACACTGTGTGTGTGTGTGTGTGTGTGTGTGTGTGTGTGTGTGTGTGTGTGAAACAGGAAGAAGAATAGCTTGTGTCAGAAGAGGGTGACCTTAATTTTAGATACGAATAGTTTTAGATACTTGCAGGATGTCTGTAGGTACCTGTAAACTTGCAGGAATCCACATAGGCCATCCTTCTGGGACAGGAGAGGTTGGGAGACTCATGAAGCACTACCTCAAAGGCATCTCCCCAGGAGGGATAAATGGAGGTGAAAGAAGTCTTGACATGGGGTGGTGAACACACAGTACAATATGTAGATGATGTATTATAGAATTGTAAACCTAAGTATATGTAATTTTATTAACCAATGTCACCCAAATACATTCAATTAAATAAAAAAGCCATATCCCCACTCTCCAGCCTGTCTCTCCAGGGAGGTTGTCATAGGACAATTTCTCATTGTCTTCCAGGTTCTGATGACAGTGCTTTTTTTTTTTTTAGAAGATCAGGGATCAGATGGACCAGGTTAGGGGATGAAATAGGTTGCCTGCAATCTGGTGTTTTATGCTCTTGACTAGGTGGTAGGTGAGCAGAGGTAGAGTGCTACCCACTAAGGGTAGCACTGACCAGGTTAGCAGAGATAAGACTCCTTAGGATCTGGTAGTACATGTGATTGTGTGGGCCAGGTTAAGGGATAAAGACATCTCGGGATCTGCTAGTAGTGGGTAAGGGCAGAGGAGTAGAAATTCTCTCATTGTCCTACCTGTTCATAAGACTGGGTGGGTTGGGCCATGGGAAAAAGTACATCTGGCAGCATACACTTTTGGAAGGTTAAGCAGCAAGAGATAGGATTGAAATCAGCCACCATATTGGTGGTTTATTATTATAAGTTCATTTGTTAAGGCTGATCTTGTTATTATTTTAATTTTATTTGTTAAGGCTAAATGAAAGGCCACTTAAAACCAAAAGTAAGTGCAAAGCTGAATTTACTGCTGTGACTGCCTCACTGATTTCTTTCCTGCAGCTCCAGCTGATCCTGGGCTCTTGCATGCCCCCTCCCCCCTGCACTCTACCAGCTTTCAGCCAAGGAGATAAAATATCTAGCTGCTCCTGGCAACTACCTTGTAACTCCTGAAGTGCCTTATTAGAACTCTTTGGTGTGTTCCTGTAAAAGAGAACCTACTAAAGTTTGGGCAACATTTGCATTAAGGGGGGAAAAAGTAAAAGTGATTTTATGAGAGGCTTGCAAGCCGATACAGTGAATGCACTGCTGTATGAATACAGAATTGGAATTGATATGTGTTACATTTTTGAACTGTGAATGTTTGCTTATGAAGTGTTAGAAAAAAGTTCTCTATGTGCAAAGTTTTCAAAGTAGACATGATGTCCTGTTGGTTGACAAGTTAAAGGTATCATTCTTAATGGCCGTGGCTTTCTGCCAGCAGGAGTGACTGATAGGTCCTAAAACAATTCAAGGCCTGTTTGCCAAATAGTTTCTTGAAACAATGTTGGCAGCTTCAAAATGCTGGATCCTTCTGTCAGTTAAAGAAAAAAATTAGTTCCCTCTGTTACAAAGTAAAACTTGTATTTCTGATAAAGCCACTCTTGCATATCAAACTCATAATTCCTGTCAAAAGTTGGCCCAATTGGTCTGCAACATGACACAGAGTTTTGGGCTTACCTAGTCCTTAAAGATTGACTCCATCAGACCTACCCATTTAGGACTATTGGTTATGACTTTTTCAGGTTACAGTCAGTAACAGTTTTTTTTTTTAATATATATATTTTTATTGATTTTTCACAGAGAGGAAGGGAGAGAGACAGAGAGAGTTAGAAACATCGATGAGAGAGAAACATCGATCAGCTGCCTCCTGCACATCCCCCACCGGGGATGTGCCTGCAACCCAGGTACATGCCCTTGACCAGAATCGAACCCGGGGCCTCTCAGTCCGCAGGCCGACTTTCTATCCACTGAGCCAAACCGGTTTCGGCAGTAACAGTTTTATCACTGGTTCTGGGAACATCATTGTGGCCCTTAAAATTAATGTCTTGTTTTATCTGATGGACATTCCACACATCGAAGTGGTTATAACTGATACTGTTAACTGTATTGTAAAAATTAATATTTTTAATATGTGTAATACTTCTCTTGCTTGTAAGAGATGTTCACAGTGGAGAAATGTCACAATTTGAATAGTGGTATTCAAATGGTGGGACCACTATACAGCCAGCCTCCGACTGGATCTCTCAGCCCAGCCATGTGCTATTAGTAAAGCAGTATAGGATGCCAGAGAAAAGGCAAATGGTGGAAGGGAAGGTCTCAGTCTTGATTAAAGAGCTAGTAGAGACAGGAGTGCTTAAGAAACCTATCCAACAGATTGCACAAACTGCCCTCCCACTTGGGCCAGTAAATTTTGAGACAGTTAGTTGCACCACATGTGTCTGTGACTGACAATTATGTAAACTGGCTTCTCTGGCAAAAAAGATGTGGCCACTAGACAAAGGCAACTCCTGGTGTTGTGAACATGATGCGGATGTAAGATTGTGTCTATATTTGATGTCTTTGGACTTTTAAATAATTAACCTGTTATGAAGACCTAACTCAGGAGGAATTATGAAACTTTATTTTTTCTACTTTAATTCTATGTTCTCTATTTAATGAGGATTGGGAAGCCTCACCTTTAAGACTATTACAGAATATCTAAGCAGAATCACTGTTTCTCCCTAAGCAAGCTTGTTTCTATCACTGGGATCTAGGCAGGCAATTAAATGTTTTGATTTTAACATCTAACTCTTTCAATGCCTCTTAGGCTATAAACATGGGTGATGATTATATCTGTGTTCTTTAGCAGAGGAATTTATGTAAAAAAGTAGAAAATAAGATTGTCACAATAAACTGTAATGTGTACAATACACATCTATTAGTACCAAAATTGTGATTTAGTTCTTCTCTACAACCATCCTTTACTATGTGTGTTCGTGAGCAGCAAAGTGGCTAAAAGACAAGAAGTAATGTGATGAAACAGAGCAAAATGCTTTTTATATAAGAAGATTTATTTTTCCCACAGACTCTGAAGATTAAAGGAAGAAAAGCAGATCACAGATCAGACATTATATGAAAGAAAAATCAGCTTATAATTCCATCTGCTATCATACCTATTGTTTCCTATAACCTAGTATGTGCACTACCATTACTACTTCCTGCTCACCTTCTGGGACATCCACATGAAGGGAATAAAGAACATGTTCTATGTCTTAGGGGCACTGAACTAGAGATTTTATTAGAATATTAGAAAAAGCGATCTAATATTACAGATTTCTACCTTTTACAGATAATGCTGTAGATCCAGATGTATCTGCCAGGACGGTCTTTATAGATGTTGAGGAGGTCAAGAATAAATCTTGTTTGACCTTTACTGATGATGGATGTGGAATGACGCCTCATAAATTACACCGAATGCTCAGGTAAAAATGTTTCATTCTTTGTCTCTTGTTTTGTGTTCATGAACTATAGTTAAGGCTTAATAATTTTCTTTAATATTTTACTTTCCCTTTATTCATTTAACAAATATTTATTGAGCATTTATTATGTGCCAGGGCACTGGTTATGAAATAGATACTGTTTTTGCCTTCACAGAACATACAGTCTAACTAGCAATTCAAACAATTAAGCAATCCTATATAATAAGACCCTAATATGCAAATGGACCAAACAGCAGAATGACCGGATGCTATGATACGCACTGACCACCAAGGTACAGATGCTCAATGCAGGAGTTGCCTCCTGGTGGTCAGTGTACTCCCACAGGGGGAGCGCAGCTCAGCCAGAAGCCAGGCTCAAGGCTGGAGAGTGCAGCGGCAGTGGCAGGAGCCTCTCATGCCTTCACAGCAGCACTAAGGACCCCTTGGGGGATGTCCACCTGCCCCAAGGGGTTCCGAACTGTGAGAGGGCGCAGGCTAGGCTGAGGGACCCTCTCCCCCCCAGTTCACGAATGTCGTGCTTGTGCACCAGGCCTTTAATAATCATAATAAAAATGATAAGTATAATGATAAGAAAGTATAGGATGCCATGGGACAAGTCAGCAGGGGAACACAATCTGATCTAAGAGGTCAGGAAAAGTGCCATAGATGAAGTATTAGTTAAGAGCTAAGTGTGAGTAGTCAAGTTTAACAAGGTAAAGGAACAGGGTATGAAGGGATAGAATTCAGGTGAAGAGAAGAGCGAGTGCAAAATGTGGAGGCCATCACTGGTCTGGGACCTTCTATAATTTATATTAACCTAAATTACTTTTAGATCAGAAGTATTGGAATTGGGATGATCTTTGGATTAATACTATGAATGTAGCTGCGTATAATCAAGCCCCATGAAAGATAAATACAAGGCATTTATATACATAATCTTTGAAGATTTTGCAGTAGAAATTCAAAGTCAGGAAATTCTTTTATAGCTGCTGAAGCTTGTGATACCGATATGTATTGCCACTCTCAGTTCAGCTAATTACTTGAAAAGGTTTGTGGTTGAGAATGTACTTTATGATCTTCACATATCACTCAGTGAAAGATGAGTGTTTTCTTAATTCCTTCCTTCTTTCTTCATTTTATTTAGCAGATGAGGTTGATTATTCTCCATCTGGCTTCCTGAACTAGTATGTGAAGCATGAGTAACAATGGAGGGATTCTATAGAGGGAAAAGGGCTTCAAACTATAGAATTGAAAAACATTAATTTTGTTGTAATTCTCTTTGAAGGTATTCTAATTCTGTAACCCTATTTGTAGGGAAATCCAGTTGATCCATCAAAGAAAAGAAATGAAATTTGGGCATAACTAATTATAAATTTGGTTATGTTTTACTACTCAGCAGTACCTTGTGTTTCAGACCCTCATAATTAAAAGATTGTTTGAGGAAAGCATCTAGAAGTGAGATAAAAATGTGTTCAGTATGTTGGTGAAGTTATAGAGCTGGCCATCACTTTTATCTGCTAAAGTTAATATTTTTTTATTAAAATAAATACACTTTTAGATGGGATGGAACAAAAATATTTATATATCTAATTCTGCATGTACTAGTTTATTTTCTAAATCACTTATCTTCTGCCCTAGCTGGTTTGGCTCAGTGGATAGAGCATCGGCCTGCAGACTGAAGGGTCCTCGGTTTGATTCCGGTCACAGGCACATGCACATGTTGCGGGCTCGGTCCCCAGTAGGGGACATGCAGGAGGCAGCCAATTAATGATTCTCTCTCATCATTGATGTTTCTATCTCTCTTTCCCTCTCTGTTCCTCTCTGAAATCAATAAAAATATACTTAAATAAATAAATCACTTATCTTTTTACCAACTCCTTCCCACCACACCTTATTCCAGTGATGTTGGTGTCAAATAGTGGGCCCAGCAGATCTTACCACTTTCCATTTTGTCTGTGGAAACTATGTCAGTGAAAATTGGTGCTTATAGTTACAAAGCAGGAGGAAAAAGGAGGATGGTTTTTTATAAGTACCGCGCGCTAACCGATTGCGCCACTGGAGCTCCGGGATGGTTTTTTAAATAATTGCAACAATTTTTGTTCCAGATTCATTCAACAAATTTATACTGGACACCTATGTGAAAGTCACTGGAGACAAAGTGGTGAACCAGTCAGACATGATCTTTGCTCTCAAGGGGCTGACAGTTAAAGAGAAATATAGAAAAGGATTGATTAGAAGCAATACTACTAAATAGGCTGTCCCACCTAGTAATAACTGCTATGAAAAAAGTAGTTTCTATGAGAACTAATCTATGGAATACAAAAATGTCTACCCTTAAGAAATGACATTTGAGTTGAAATATGAAGAATGTGTAATATTCATTTAAAATTTCATTTCTTTCTTGGGGAACAAAACAGACCTAAACAGGTGGAAACCTCTTTCACCATAGCCTTTTCTGGCATTATCATGTCAAATATATTTCCCACCATTTTGAGCTGGGAAATTGTTCCTCATATTTAAAAGTTAATTTTAAAGAATTTTAAAAGTCCTGGATTATGTATGGTGTACGTGCTGGATTTTATTTCTGATCGTAACTTAAAACAAACTTCAATCTGTTAGGAGGTCCCATCTATTTAGAAGAGATCATTTAATCCAATCCTAACTTCTAGCCAAGGATTTCACTTAGCACAATTTCTTTTTTAAATAATTGAACTTTAGAGGTAGCTTTGAAAATTATTAAGCATATTAATTTTTCTTATATGGGTTGGGGGAATATTACCTTTATATTTGGAAAAAATAATAGAGGTAGATGTGCAAAATTGTTAAGCCTACAGAAATTCTATTTGATCTATAACGTTTCTTATAATCCTATCCACATTTTCCATCTCTTTATGGTAACCTTCCAATTTTCAGGCAAATAAAATAGTTATGTAACTGCAGCAACAGTTTTTCCATAAATACAGAATCCCATGAAAATCAAATAAAATAGGAAAAGCCTATCATTAAATTTGTTTAAGGCCCATAATTAATTATCTTTAGCTTTTGCGATTAGTGTGTGAACCAGCTGGTCTATATATTCGGCTGCCTTGTTCAGCAAGGTGGAAAACCTCTTCTTTGAGAAGACAAGAATAAACAGCATCCACAGACCCATGGATTGAAGGATTTGCTTGCTACCTCTGCTCAGAAGTGTATTTCCTAGAGGTCATTTTTAAAAACAACAGCAAGAGAATGGCAATGTGCTTAGTCTTTCATTCTTTGATATTGCATATTACATCACAATGTATCTAGGAAACAGCAGTGCCCACCCTTGTATGTTCATGGATTTTCTAAGGTTTGTTTCATTGGTCAGAGTCCCAATTTAAATTCACCTCTGTAGATTTTAGAATATTGACATTTTAATAAAGTTAGGAGCAAGCTGCTATCTTCCTGAATTCCACTCAAAGAGCTGGTATCCAAGCCCCCTTGATCTGTAAACACTGTTGTTTCTTACATGAAAGGATAGAACAGGACTTAGTGAAGTGAAACCACCTATCTAAGCCAAGCTATCTCTGTGGAAGATGAGTGAGCTATACCAAACTATACAAAATTCATTCCTACAATTCTATTATTTATTGTGAGGGCTTTTATATTAGGTAGTTATTTGATTGGTATCTGGCATCCATTCTGCAATTTTCAGTTAAATAGAATACCTAAGTGGAATAAAAGAACACATGGGAAGAATGAAGTGGAACATAACAACAATATCCAGAGTTCCAGATTCTCTCTTCTCATTATTCATAACCTTTTCCATTTCTTGTTCTGGCCCTACCCTACTACTTACTTTCTCAACCTTGTACAGCCATTTGGTCTTCTCAAACTAAGTAACACAATCAGGGTTTATACTCACAAAAGGGAAGAGATGATAGATGGCAGAAAGGTCAGGAATGGCTAGGAAATTAAGAGAGTAATATAGAATTTTGTTTTCACTACTTTCTCTTGACTACCTAACTGAAATTTTTGTAGCATTAGAGAAAGTTTAAGTTCAGATAACCATGTAGGTTCATTTCACATGGTAGGTTACTGCTTATGAAGAGCCTTGAGTTTTATGTATGATATTAGGTCTGAAGTGGAGCTAGAGGATAGCACACGACAATTCTCAGTGACTTCTAGAGTTAGTTTAAAATTCAAGTTTGAATATTATCTGTATATAAAAAACCCTAATATGCAAATAGACCGAACAGTGGAACAACTGAACAACTGAAGAACCGGTCGCTATGATGTGCGCTGACCACCAGGGGGCGCATGCAGACCATGGCGGGCATCCACCGGCAGGATGGTGGAGCAGGTGAGCGGGGGCGCCAGAACAAGGTGGGGCGCCAGTTGCTGTCATCAGGGTGAGCCTCTGGTGGTTACTGAAAATTCTTTGCTCCCGCACGCCACAGTCCCACCCAGCGCTTACACCTGCTGCTGGCACCGGCCCTGCTGGCACCTGCAGCTGACACTGGAGACACCGCGCGCACCCGCTGCCGGCACCTGGCGCCGGTCCTGATCACTCAGCACCATAAGCAGGTGCAAGCAGCGGCTGCCAGCACTGATTGCCCTTGAGGGCTTCTCCACCTCCCCCTGCTCCTGAGGGGTGATCAGGGTAGCAGCCTCTGCTCACACCCACTGCTGGCACTGGTCCCAATCGCTATGTGCCATCAGCAGGTGCAAGCGGGGTGTTAGCGCATGGGAGCAACGGCGGCAGGAGCAGGGCTGCTAGCAGAGAGGGGACCAGGGACAGCAGTGGGAGGGACCAGGCGGGGGCGCAGAGGATAGGCTGAGACCCGCCCCTGTGCCCACCACAGCCTTGAGGCCCAGAGTTCCTTTCAAGGTGCATGAATTCATGCACTGGGCCCCTAGTTTTATAATATATTGTGCATATAGTATATAATTTATTCCTCATAATAACCGCATCTTTTATATCCAGTTTTTTTCATTAGAAGAATAGGAATGCCCTAATCTTACCAACCTCTGTAAGTTTATTTCCTGGAATACTAAGGCCCATAGACAGCAGAAACACAATAGTCTTTGGGATTTTCAAATAAACTACTGCCCTAGAAATTACTTTTCCTTGTGTTATATTTATTTGTAGGTGCACAAAGCTCTTGTAAATTGTCTACTCTAGAAGGACGTAACACTTTGAAAAAGAAAATTAAAAGATGGTACTCCTTCTTAGGGAAAACACAAACCACAGTCTTCAGGAAGTGGAAGGCAGGCAACTCAATCCTGCTCAAAAGTAAAAGAACCAAGGCCATGCTGCTCAGACATAGCATATAGAGTATCTATTTTATTGATATTGGAGAATCATCTAATCTGTAACATATGAAATCTTTCCTTAGACTGTAACACAAGGGCAAGAATCTTGTATCTTTTTATTAACAGTTTTGTCTCCAGTATTTAGCACAATGCATGGCACATAATAGGTACTTAGTAAATATTTATTGAATGAATGATAGTGTATAACACTATAAACTTAGTCAATCTGGAAAGAAATAATCCTTAAAATTAGTTTTATTTGTGGTGAGGGAAGATATATGAGGAAGATAATAATAATCATTTTCTAGGTTTCATATCTTTTTTTTTTGGTTCTATTATTCTGTTGCATGTTTGAATGGAGAATGTATAAAAGGGAAAAGATCTGACTCCCAGATTAAGCTGATCATAAGGAGATACAGAGATTGTTGAGGTGACTCAGTGAAATGCCCTTAATAGAACAAGAGAGACTTTATACTGCAGCTGTTTGCTGATACTCAGAGGCAGAACTACCTATTTTTATCCCTTGGCCACATTCCAACAAACTGTCCCAGCAGATGAAGCAGAGGGTAAGAATTGGAAGGGTTATCTTTTGGTTGGAGAGTTGAAATTGTTTAGATATATAACCTTTGACTTTCAGATTTCTAGAAGGTGATGTAACCAGGTTAGGGGATGCCTAGTCTGGCACCTCTGACCAGTGCCACTATCTGGTACTTTTGCTACCCTCTATACAGTGTACTCTGAGATAACCACGCTTTTTACCCTACCTTAACCTTCCTATTAGTAATCAGAGCCATTTTCTCGAGACCCATGGACTTCTCCAGCTATCTTTGCTAGTAAAAAGAGGCCGCCTTTACATTTATAGAATGGGACACTAATGTACTGGAAGTATTTATGCACACACAAACCACACAGTAAAATCAGTCCCATTACCCCATAGTAATTTCCTATGTTTTTAACTTAATAGTTTTGCCCAGAATATCAACAGAAAAAAAGGAATGACGTTTTACAAGTGTTATTCATTTGTAAGCTAAACATTCTGCTTGTCACCTATCGTAGGATGCTTTTTATCTTTCTGCTTTCTTTTTTCTGATTTATTTTTTCTTGTGTAATTACAGCTTTGGCTTTACAGATAAAGTAATAAAGAAGAGCCAGTGTCCCATCGGGGTCTTTGGTAATGGTTTCAAGTCAGGCTCCATGCGGCTAGGAAAGGACGCTCTTGTCTTCACCAAGAATGGGGGTACTCTCACTGTTGGACTCCTATCACAGACCTACCTGGAATATGTCCAGGCCCAGGCAGTTATTGTGCCAATTGTTCCATTCAACCAGCAAAACAATATCCTTTCTGGAAATGTTGGTTAAACATTAGTCTAATCTGATATTTTGATAGAAACCTCTTTCTTCACAACAAATCCAGCTATCAATTCAACTGTCCTAAACTTAACTTGAATTCCCCCTATTAAATGTTTTTTGTTTTTTTTTAAAAAATAACTGGACAATTGACAGAAGCCTAGAAATGTTTTTGTTGTATGGAATATTTCGCTGTTATGTGATTTGATCTCTATCTCTCCCACACCACCACTCCTTTGGTAAAGTGCCCCCTCTCTCTTATTTTTCTTCTAAGGGCAGCTACATTTATATCATACTCCTAGAAACCTTCTATTCATCAGCTTATCTGATGGCAGAATCACTCATTTCCCCATTCCTAGACAAGCTGTTATTTTTATTAGATACCAGGTCGTCTTGACCCAAGAGTAAAGCAGTGAAGTTTGAGCTCATTGCTTCCAAAGGGTCTGAAAATTCAGCCTTTGATCTGTTTTGTAAATATAGGACAGTCTTTACATTATATTTTTGAAGCTATATTCTGCAGGGGTAACTGATTTTTATGTTTGTCTCTACAACCTTTATTCATTTTGCCTTTTCCTTTCTTCTGTAGCAGTGATACCCGCTTTATGTCTATATTTTGTCTAAACATACAACACAAAAGGCAGATCTTCCTAATTATAGCATCTTCTTAAAATATTAAGTTTTCTTTGACTGTATTTGGTTTTACAAAAAATGATTATTACTGAGGATTCCTTGCCCAGCCTAGAAGCCATCTTGAACTATTCAATTTTCAACAGTGAAAATGACCTGCTGTCCCAGTTTGATGCCATCCCAGGCAAAAAAGGCACTCGTGTTCTCATTTGGAACATCCGCAGGTATAGTATACCAAGGGTGATAGATTTTAATAAGCAAAGGTAGTATGATGAAGTACATTTTAATAAATTTCTAGAGAAGCAGAGTAGATAAATTTTGATAGATATTTGCATTTCATTGCATACTTTTTCTTAACTTTTGTATAACCACAGCTCTGTGAGAGATAGTGGTTCTTCTTAGTAAAATGTGGAGCTTGATAATGAAGAGACATGCATATCCTGAAGCTATTGCCACAAATAATCAAGACAGTTCAATGTTATTCTAAAATATTTAGAATCCATTATACATATCTATTTTATATTTATGGTCACTGTTTTGAGATAGGTACATGATAGTTATTTAACTTATTTGACTGAAAATAAAATGTGAAAACTAGACATTAACAAGCATTTTCCTTAAGATTGGGAACAAGACAAGGATGTCTGCCTTCACCACCCTTATTCAAAATACTCCTTGAAGTCCTAGCCACAGCAATCAGACAAGAAGAAAAAATAAAAGGTATCCAAGTTGGAAAAGAAGAAGTAAAATTGTCATTATTTACAGATGATATGATAGTGAATATAGAGAACTCTAAAGATTCCACCAAAAAAGCTAGAACTGATAAATGAATTCAGTAAAATGGCAGGATACAAAATAAATATCCAGAAATCAGTTGCATTTTTGTACGCCAATAATGAACTATCAGGGAAACTAAGAAAACAATCCCACTCGCAATTACTTCAAAAAGAATAAAAATACCCAGAAATAAATTTAAGCAAGGGTGTAAAAGACGTGTACTGGAAAAGTATAAGACACTGAAGAAAGAAATTAAAGAAGGTACAAATAAGTGTGTTCATGGATTGGAAGAATTAACATCATTGAAATGTCCATAATACCTAAAGCAATTTTTAGATTCAATGCAATTCTTATTAAAATACCAATGACATATATTACAGATCTAGAACAAATATTCCAAAAATTTATATGATCCTGAATAGCCACAGCAATCTTGAGAAAGAAGAACAAATTTGGAGGAATCGTACTACCTGATATCAAACTATAGTACAAGGTCATAATAATAAAAACAGTGGTACTTGCATAAAAACATATATAGAGGTCAAGGGAATAGAATAGCCCAGAAATAAACCCATGCCTTTATAGTCAATTAATATTTGACAAAGGAATCAAAACATGCAATGACATAAAGACAGTCTATTCAGTAAATGGTGTTGGGAAAATTGTACAGATATGAAACTAGACCACCTTTTTTACAACATACACAAGGATAAACTCAAAATGGATAAAAAAAAACTTAAATGAAGGCGTGAAACCATAAAAATCCTAGGGGAAAAAAAAACAGGCAGTAAAATCTTGGACATTTCTTGTAGCAATATTTCTTCTGATATATCTCCTCAGGCAAGGGATACAAAAAAAAATAAACAAATGGGAATACATCAAACTAAAAAGTTTTGCACAGCAAAGGAAACTGTCAACAAAATGAAAAGAGAACCCACTGAATGGGAGACATTCTTGCTGAATACATCTGATAAGGAGTTAATACCCAAAATGTATAAAGAACTCATTAAACTGGACACCAAAAGAATAAACTATCCAATTTAAAAATGGGCATGGGATGTGCTCTCCCTCTCCTTTCCCCAGACACACTCTTTGGAGCATGCCTTTCCCCCTCTTCCCTCAGGCATGTTAGTTTTGCTTTCTTTCTCCTAAGCTCCAAGGGCCCCTCTTTTGCCTCTATAACATGTTTTCTAAGTCATACACCCCAGCTGGTTCACTTCTACCTCTGTGACTTTCTAAATAAACTTTTGCTTGTATTTGAGTTCTTGGCTCTGAATTCTTTATTAGCCGAACTCAAGGCTGGGGTGTAATTCCGCCATTAACATTGAGAGGGACTAGTATTCCTTCATTTGTGGGGTAGCAGTAGTCTCCCTACAGAACAGAGATTTCGGATTTGTCTCCTGATGACTGTTTTGCTTCTTGATTGTGCTTGACCTCTCCAGGACAGGGCTTCATCTTTTCTTTCCCAGTCTCAAAAATAAAAAATTAAAAAAAAAATGTGCACAGGACCTGAATAGACACTTCTCCAAAGAGGACATTCAGATGATCAATAGGCATATGAAAAGATGCTCAAAATCACTAATCATCGACAAATGCAAATTAAAACTACAAAGAGATATCACCACACACCTGTCAGAATGATTATCATCAATAAATCAACAAACCACAAGTGTTGTGGAGGATGTGGAGAAAAGGGAACCTTTGTGCACTATTGGTGGGAATGCAGGTTGGTGAAGCCACAATGCAAAGCAGTATGGAATTACCTTGAAACATTAAAAATGGAAATGCCTTATGAAGCAGCAATTCCACTTTGGGGAATTTATCTGAAGAAACCCAAAATACTAATCCAAAAGAATAAGTGACCCCTATGTTCATTGCAACGTGTTTATAATAGCCAACATTTGGAAGCAGCCTAAGTGTCCATCAGTAGATGAGTGGATAAAGCATCTATGGTACATTTACACAGTGGAATACTACTCAGCTGTTAAAAGAAGGAAATCTTACCTTAGCAACAGCATAGATAGACCTGGAGATTATGCTAAGTGAAATAAGTCAATCAGATAAATACCATATGATTTCACTCATATGTAGAATCTAATGAACAAAATGAACTAGTAAGCAAAATAGAGACAGATTCATAAATAGAGCGCAGGCTGACAGCTGTTGGAAGAGGGGTTGGGAAACTGGGTTGGGGGTTGGAGGGATTGAGCAAAAAAGAAAAAAAGAAAAATCTCACGGACATGGACAACAGTGTGGTGACTGCAGCAGGGGGGTGGAACTGGAGAAGAGTATATGGGGGACAAATGGTGATGGATGAAGACATGACTTGAGGTGGTGAACACACAATACAGGGTACAGATGATGTGAAGTGGAATTGTGTACCTGAAACCTGTATAATTTTGTAAACCAATGTCACCCCAATAAATTCAGTAAAAAGGGAATAAAAGGAAAAGAGACATAAGGGTAACAAAGCACAACACAATCTTTAAAAATAAAGACCTCTGTATTAGTGGTTTAGAGGGGCTGAATTAGAAGTAGAAAAATCTTTTTTTTAATTAAATCTTTATTGTTCATATTATTACAATTGTTCCTCTTTTTTCCCCCCATAGCTCCCCTTCACCCAGTTCCCACCACACCTTCTGCCCTTACCCCCCCACCACCAGTGTCCTCATCCATAGGTGTGCGATTTTTGTCCAGTCTCTCCCCACACCCCCCACACCCCTTTCCCCAGAGAAATGTCAGTCCAGTCCCTTTCTATGCCCCTGATTCTATTATATTCACCAGTTTTTCTGTTCATCAGATTTTTTATTCACTTGATTTTTAGATTCACTTGTTGATAGATATGTATTTGTTGTTCATAATTTTTATCTTTACCTTTTTCTTCTTCTTCCTCTTCTTAAAGGATACCTTTCAGCATTTCATCTAATACTGGTTTGGTGGTGATGAACTCCTTTAGCTTTTTCTTATCTGTGAAGCTCTTTATCTGACCTTCAATTCTGAATGATAGCTTTGCTGGGTAAAGTAATCTTGGTTGTAGGTTCTTGGTATTCATCACTTTGAATATTTCTTGCCACTCCCTTCTGGCCAGCATAGATTCTGTTGAGAAATCAGCTGACAATCGTATGGGTACTCCCTTGTAGGTAACTAACTGTTTTTCTCTTGCTGCTTTTAAGATTCTCTCTTTGTCTTTTGCTCTTGGCATTTTAATTATGATGTGTCTTGGTGTGGTCCTCTTTGGATTCCTTTTGTTTGGGGCTCTCTGTGCTTCCTGGACTTGTAAGTCTATTTCTTTCACCAGGTAGGGCAGTGGTTCTCAATCTTCCTAATGCCACAACCCTTTAATACAGTTCCTCATGTTGTGGTGACCCCCAACCATAAAATTATTTTCATTGCTACTTCATAACTGTAATTTTGCTACTGTTATCAATCGTAATGTAAATATCTGATATGCAGGATGTATTTTCATTGTTACAAATTGAAAATAATTAAAGCATAGTGATTAATCACAAAAACAATATGTAATTATATATGTGTTTTCCGATGGACTTAGGTAACCCCTGTGAAAGTGTCGCTCGGCCCCCAAAGGGGTCACGACCCACAGGTTGAGAACCGCTGAGGTAGGGGAAGTTTTCTGTTATTATTTCTTCAAATAGGTTTTCAATATCTTGCTCTCTCTCTTCTTCTGGCACCCCCATAATTCTGATGTTGGTACGCTTAAAGTTGTCCCAGAGGCTCCTTACACTATCTTCATATTTTTGGATTCTTTTTTCTTTTTGCTTTTCTGGTTGGGTGTTTTTTGCTTCTTTGTATTTCAAATCTTTGACTTGATTCTTGCGATCCTCTAGTCTGCTGTTGGATCTCTGTATATTATTCTTTATTTCAGTCAGTGTATGCTTAATTTCCAGTTGGTCCTTTTTCATATCCTTGAGGGTCTCACTAGATTTCTTGAGGGTCTCACTAAATTTATCGGCGGTTTCTAGAAAATTCTTGAAAAACCCTATAACCATGGTTTTGAACTCTAGATCCAGTAGTTTGCTTTCCTCCGTTTCTGTAATTTGTGACCTGTTTCTTTGTCTCCGCATTTTGGCTGCTTCCCTGTGTTGATAGAGTGGCTTTCTGTGCTAAGTGTCCCATAGTGCCCAGTGGCTCAGCCTCCCCAATTACCTGAGGTGGACACTCTTGGTGCACCCCTTTGTGGGCTTTGTGCACAGTCTTGTTGTAGTTAAGCCTTGATTGTTGTAGGTATCACTGGGAGGAATTGACCTCCAGGCCAATTGTCTGTGAGAATCAGCTGTGTCTATGCTGGGAGAACTTCTGTGCTGGACACACCCTTCTGGGGCAAGACTTGCTTCAGTGGGGCTTTGGTGCTCACTCAGTCTGCCCCCCTTAGTGTGTCCCTTATGAATCTGAGGAGTTGTAATCTGGATGGTCCCACTCTGACCACTGGGTACACTGGCTCTTGAATCTCTAAGGAGGTGCTAATTTAGCCTCTGCTTGAGGCTACCCAGCAGGAGCTATGGAGAGATCTGCAGATTCCTCTTCTTTGTTTGGGGTTTGGAGGTGCCCAGATGAGGCCCAGCTGTGAAGCAATGCAAGCTGCTGTGGGGCCTTGGGCCCTCTTTTGGATGTTCTGTGTATCTCTGACCCAGCTGCAGTTTGTTAGGTAATTTTAGATTGCAAAGGACCAGGCCATTCATATGCAAAAGCCTCTGCACACAGCTTGGGTGGGGCGGGGTCTCAGGGAATCAACAGGGTGAAGCAAACAGCTATGGCTGATCCTCAGCCCTGCCCTAAGAGGCCCCAGGTCTCAGGGTCCCTTAGTAATCACTGCAAGCACCTGTGAGAGAAAGCCACCCTCGAGTTCCACCCAATGCCAGACAGTCCAGTTTCTCCTCGTATGAGTCTGGGTCCCCAGAGACTCGCCTGGAACTGGAGTTCAGAGCGGTCGGGTGCTTGAGACTCCCTCCCAATTGAAAAAGTCAACCGTGTCCTCATTTGCCAGCCCTTTCCACGTGTGCCTCTGTGCCTTTGCACTTTACTTCCGCACCTCCTCTGAGTCTCAGTGTGCTTTTCTCTTTCCTTCTAGTTGTTGAATTTCCACTCAGCCAGCCTTCCTGTGGATCTGGATGATGTCTGTTTTGTCTTTTAGTTGTAATTTTGAAGTGTTTGTGCGAGGCAGCAATTTTAGGTGTTTACCTATGCCGCCATCTTGGTTTCTCCGACACAGTAGAAAAATCTTTGAAGCAGATAAATTTGAACTATAATGAGGCTGGCTTCTGGTTATGTGTTGAGAGCTAATAAGACAGTTTATAAATACTCTAGATTATGTCATTTTTTAAAATTTAGTCAGATCAAATGGAATACAGTTAAGGGTCCACTAAAAACTAAAAAAAAATTATTATAAAATAGAGGTGTTATTTTTATGTTTAATAGAATAGGGTATCAGGTATATTTTTCTTCTTAACTCAAGTATTTCACCTCCTTTCTTAGCTGGGTTAAACTTATATAAAAACATGCTTGCCCTGGCCGTGTAGCTCAGTTGCTTAGAGCATCGTCCTCATACACTAAGGTTTCAAGTTCTATCCCCGGTCAGGGCACATACAAGAAGCAATCAACTTAATAAGTGGAACAGCAAATTGTTGTTTTCCTCTCTCCAATTCTCCCCCACTCTTTAAAATCAATCAGTAAATTAAAAAACAAACAAACAAACAAACAAATGCTATGCTGGTTTGTATAGAGTACTTTCAACTAAAAAGAACAAAAAGTAAAGAGCTTTTTCTCACTGGCAATTTAGATTTTCTTTTGTCCTACTTGGAAAGTGTCAAATAATATAATTTATATTGTAAAGGATCATTTTCCTGAGGTATTTGCAGTGACTTAAACACATTATTTGTACATTGTTTCTCAACTATATAGTAGTAGGTGTCATGTAAATACAGGATTCCATGGTCATATAACTTTAGGAAAATCTGGCTTAAAGTTTACCATGCTGTTTTATTGAAGGACTTCTCAGAGGCTTCAATAGGCTAATGTTATTGCATTATATAACATTATATAAAAGCAATATAGTATGCAGCATTACCCAATTTCAAAAAATGTTTCTCCAGACCTCTTTTCCTTGGATGGTGAATGGTGAGGGGCAAGGACAGGGAACCTCCTCAGAGTATGTGTTAGAGTGGGATGGGGTAGCAAGAATCAGGATTATCCGGGAAAATCCAGAATATAGTATTATAATGACATGGGCTTTATAAAAGCTACATGCCACAATGGCTCTTGCCCAGCCTTGAAGAAAGAGCTACATTTTCACCACAGCAGCTCTGAGCTTGCAAAGCCTGAATGAAGTATGAAGGAGGTATCACTAAGCTTTGAGGTGGCTCTGAGGGTCAGGAATCGTTTTCAATTTTATTCGTTCAGTCATGCAACCAACCTACCTTCCCTTCCCATCCCTTCCCTTCCCTCCCTCTCTATTTAAGAGTATTTGGGAATACTACTGTTTTGTTCTGATTTATATGTTTTCTCCCTAACGCATCACGAATAAAAATAGTTCTTGGCTTTTTTCACTGGCAGTTGTTAGTGATATAACTCAGAGTCTTGGACTGAACCACAGCTAAGTGACCCAAAATGATTATGAGAAAAAGAAAGATCCTTATGAAAGGAATATGAATACTATTATATTTAAAAGATAATTCCATAAATGATATTCTAGAGAACTAGCAAATAATAACTTTTTTCCCTTAGAAATAAGATCTGTTAAAATCTCTATCTCCTTAGTCCTTACACAATTGCTAAAATTAGAAAAAGTAGGTTTTGATTCATCTATTTATTCAGTTAGGAAAATGATGTTGTATGACCTACACAACAATACCCAGAAGGTTGGGATCTATTATAAGGTCCTTCTTTGAGGATAACTGATATCCAATTGCTTGAGCAGATCACATACATACACACTTTTCTTTTTTTCTTTCCTTCTGTACTTGGCATTACCACCTCTATGAAGCATATTAGATTTGTTCAGACTAGAAATAACCTAAATATTGTGTGGTCTTCAAACTGAGTAATGTATAGTTCAGTACTGGTAGTCAGGGAAAGAAATAGGTATCTGAGTTTGGGCTCATATTGTTTCTTTTCTCTTGGGTTCCTAGTGCATTTTTGTCCTTTGGAACCAGATTTTGTTAGATTGGTACTTGTCTCTTTTACCCAGAAATAAAGATGGAAAGTCTGAGTTGGACTTTGATACAGATCAATTTGACATCCTGGTATCAGACTTTGGCACAGAAGAAAAAGAGACTGGTGGTGTTACCTCTGAACTGCCAGAAACAGAGTATTCTTTACGGGTGAGTAAGAATGGTTTTTCTTCAACAATGAGAGGTAAGATTTCCTATAACATGAAAATCTATATAACAATAACTTTTTAGTTATATAAAGATGACAGTCTTTTAGCCCGGTGTTAGGATTCCTTTTCACTGGCTCCATCAAAAGAGATTAGTGAATAGATTCAATACCACCTTAGTATGGTAGTTGACATAGTATAACATGGTATGGAAACTGACAAGGGCTACTCTGTTTCTTAGTTACTAATCTATCCACCTTTTTTTGTTGTTGTTGTTGTTAGAAACCACCTGGAAATGTTATAATACAGAATCCTTGCCCAGAATAGACCTCAGTTGCTAGCAGTGTTTAAAGGGGATGTTAGTAGAATTGGCTATATAATATAATAACTTTCCCTTCACTGTTCCATAGGCATTTTGTGGTATTCTGTATATGAAGCCAAGAATGAAAATTTTTCTACGTCAAAAGAAGGTGACTACCCAGATGATTGCCAAGAGCCTGGCCAATGTAGCATATGATATATATAAACCTACCTTCACAGTATCCTTACAACTACATGAAATTTATCTCTTCATTTCAGGATTAGATTTCAAAGTTGGCACAGAAAAACAAAAAAACTTTACTTTCTAATTAAAAAACATATGTTATAGTACAAATCCTATTACAATACACTTTTTCTTTCTTTCTTTTTTTAATTCTCACCAGAAGATATTTTTCCATTGATTTTTTTTAGAGAGAGTGGATAGGAGGGAGGAGAGAGAGAGAAACATCTCACATTGATTAGTTGCTTCCCCCATGCGCCTGACCTGGGGAATGGAGCCTGCAATCAAGGTACGTGCCCTTGATCAGGATTCGAACCTGAGACCCTTTGGTTTCAGGAACAATATTCTAACCATTGAGAAAAACTGACAAGGGCTACTCTGTTCTTAGTTACCAATCTATCCACCTTTTTTTGTTGTTGTTGTTAGAAACCACCTGGAAATGTTATAATACAGAATCCTGAGACGTTGGAGCTTCTGATTAAGTAGATTCTAAAATCTCTTTTTTAAATCATAATTTTTTTTTTTAATTCTAAGCTGATTCTAGTGATAGCCAGGTTTGATACTCTGCTTTAAGATCCACACCATTTAGTTTGTATTGGGATTTTATTATAACATTGATTAAAATAAGCAAAATATTGACTAGAACTTGTTCATGTTTTGGACAGCATGAACTTTTAAAAAATATTTTTATTGATTTCAAAGAGGAAGAGAGAGGGAGATAGAAACATCAATGATGAGAGAATCATTGATTGGCTGCCTCCTGCACACCCCCTACTGGGGATCGAGCGTGCAACCGAGGCATGTGCCCTTGACCGGTATCAAACCTGGGACCCTTCAGTCCACAGGCCGACACTATATCCACTGAACCAAACCCAGCTAAGACTCATAACATGAACTTTTGTCATGATAAGTCCATACTTATATAGATAGAAATTAGGAGAGTGGGAATTTAGGTTGATTTTCTGGGGTGAGATAAATCTTTAACAGTTTTAACTTGGATTTCCTTCTACTTCTCATAATGGCAGCGACTCAGAGAAATAGTTTCTCATTTTCAGTTCTACCCCTCTCCCACTGCACTAGGAATGGATTTCAGACACTTGAAAGAATTAGGTCTAACTTTGTTGAGGGCTTTTTGGGCAAAAAAAGTCTTTGAAAGGTTGAGAACTCATAAGAAATTATGAAAAATTACTCCTGTAATTTATTTTCTAGTAGCTAAGCACAGCCTTTGGATGAAGAAACACTCTGTTTACTTTATCAAAGGTGTTATTTATCTTGTTTTGTCTTTCTTCCCCTGGCCAAAAATTATAAATTTTGTTGTTTCTTTTAAAAAATCTGTATAGTAGTTACTCTAAACTGATTGTTCTCTCTCTCTCTCTCTCTCTCTCTCTCTCTCTCTCTCTCTCTCTCTCTCTCTTTGAAGTACATTGTATATTGGGGAAGTTTTTTTTTTAAGCCCTGAACAAACACAATTTAACACAGCCAGAGGTAGCACCGTTAGCATCTATAGGTAAATTAGTTATATCCATATATGTAGGCTAGGATATCAGTGTCATAAGTTTAACAGAGTCAGTCTAAAGAATTGTTTCCTAGCTACTTTTTAAAGATGTGCCACTTTTCTGTACTAACTTCTGTCTTTTATGGGTTTTTATCAGGGTGACTCCTATGCATTCTATTTGTACTGTAACTCTTCTTACCTGTCCTTCTCATTAAACTAGTTACCCTCTCTAATAGAATGTGGGATAAACAAATTCACTATAGAGCCTGGCCGGCGTGGTTCAGTGGTTGAGCATCCAACTATGAAACAGGAGGTCACGATTCGATTCCTGGTCAAGGCACATGCCCAGGTTTCAGGCTCAGTCCCCAGTGGGGCATGTGAAAGGAGCAGCTGATCAATGATTCTTTCTCATCATTGATGTTTTTATCTCTCTCTCCCTCTCCCTTCCTCTCTAAAAAAAAAAATGTATTAAAAAAACAACCAAAAAAAGATTCAAATAAAATTCACTATAGACATGAATAAAATGAAACTCCTAATAACATTTCCCCCAAGGTCACTGAGAGACAAGATCACTGATGCTGATTTACTCATTCCTCAGTTACTACAGGCCTCTTTTCCCTTCTTGTCCTCTCTTTATACTAATTTGGAGAACCTCTTATCCCAGTGTCCTCCCTTCTCATAATTTAGAATTTTAAAAGTGTACCATAGAAAGAAAGTATTTGACAATCTTTGCCTTAAAAATGTTAATTTTTTGGTGTAGAGTTTTAGTGTGTTTGTTTGGGTGAGTTTTGTCCTGTTTTGTTTTTGCCTTTGTATAGGGTCTTACTTGTGGTTTTATTTGAGCTTCTGGAGTCCAGAACATTATATGTTCTGAGCCAGACATTACTGTGTTCTCTCATACCTGGCTCATTTGTCACTTGGGTTTATTCAATAGCTTGTTATTTAGAAGGGGATATTGATATCATTTTAAAAAATAGTAAGAAAGGATTTCAAAATGGCGGCTGAATAGGCAGAAATGTCTCACACCTTCTCCTGAGGTCAGGCCAGAAAAGCAACTAAATTGGAGAATATCCACCCAGAATTAACAAATTAAACACGGCTGAGGAGACAGTTTTCAATAAGGAAGGGCAGAGGATGCCTAGAGAATGGTGCTTGCCAGCCATAACCCACGTGGAACCACCACCGTACCCTGGCAGTGAGTAGCACAGTACCTCCCAGCAGGCTCCATGATGTCTGCAGTGAGTGCCTTCCAGAATGACCTCCCATACCAGGCCTCTTCACCAGCCTGCCAGGACCTAGTGTCCCAGGATCTGGCTCCAGGACCCCATAGTGAGTGCAAACCAGGGGCACCCCTGTACCCCGCCCCCACCCAGGGCCCCAGAACCATGGTGCCAGTCTGACCTGGAGCCACCTGCCACCCACTCCACCCTGAGCCCTGGGACCTGCTGCTGGGAGACTCGGAGTAACCCAGTGCACACCCCAAACTGGACCACAGGAGAGCTCGGACTGTGTGACCTAGAGCCACCCTCGCCCTCTCCACCTTGAGTCCAGAGACTTGCTGCCTGGGCGACCTGGAGTGACCCAGCACACACCCCACTCGGGGACACAGGAGAGCTTTGACTGTGCAACTCAGAGCAACCAACAGTGCTCCACCCCAGCCCCGGGGACAGTCCCACCAGGGATACCCATAGCAACTCAGCATGCGCCCCACTTGGGCCACAGGAGAGTGCTGCCAAGGAGACCCAGAGCAATTTGGTGTGCCCAGCCAGAGGTCACAGGATCGTGCTGCAAGTGCACTGCCAGAGGGAACTAGGGTACCATCCTGCCACAGGTGCCAGGACCACAGGTGAATTGCATGCCAAAAGGCTCTGGGTCCTCACAGGAAGTCGCATACCAGAGGAACTGTGCACATGCTCCCACCACTCCAAGCATCTGAAGCAGACAACAGAGGGACCAGATCCATGGTGGGAGGGGATACAACTCAGAGCAGAGACAATAAAGGTGTGAGACTCAAGGCAAACCCAGCCTCTGGGCTAACAATTTCCAGATCATTGCCCTGATAGGGTCTTCAACCTCTCAAACCCCAAGCGGGGTGCCCAGGGCCAGAAAGAAACAACAAAAATGGGGAGACAAAGAAACAATCCCCCAAGAAAAGGAAAGGCAGAATCACAAGAGAAGGAACTAAATAAAATGGAGGCAAGCAATATGTCAGAGAAAGAATTCAGAGTCAGGCTCATAAAGTTCCTAAACAGACTGGATAAGAAAATCAACAACATATGTAAGAACCAAGGGGAAATGAAGAATGATATAGCTACAATAAAAAAAACACAATGGGAGGTTTCAACAGTAGACTAGAAGAAGTGGAGGACTGAATAAGACAGGGTAGAAAAACACACCCAATCTGAACATCAATTGGAGAAAAAAATTAGAAAGCAGGAGGAGAGCTCAAGGGAGCTTTGGGACAACATGAAACGAAGCAACATCTGTATAATAAAGGTGCCAGAAGGAAAGAAGAGGAGCAAGGATTAGAAAACCTGTTTGAAGAAATAATGACAGAGAACATCTTGGACTTGGGGAAGAAAAAAGTCACACAAGCACAGAGAGTCCCAAACAAGATGAACCCCAAAAGACCAACACCAAGACATGCCATAATTACAATGGCAAATGTTAGCAACAAAGAGAAAATCTTTTTTAAAAATATATTTTTCTTGATTTCAGAGAAGAAGGGAGAGGGACAGAGATAGAAACATCCATGATGAGAGAGAACCATGGATCAGCTGCCTCCTGCATGCCCTGTACTGGTGATTAAGCCCTCAACCCAGGCATGTGCCCTGACTGGGAATCGAACCTGTGACCTCCTGGTTCATAGGTCAGTGTTCAACTGATGAGCCACACCAGCCGGGCAAGAGAGAATCTTAAGGGCTGCAAGAGACACACAGAGAGTTACGTACAAGGGATCTCCCATTAGATTATCAAATGATTTCTCAACAAAAACACATCAGGCCAGAGGGACTGGAATGAAGTACACAGAGTGATGCAAAGCAAGGGACTGAATCCAAGAATACTCTATCCACCAAGGCTATCATTCAAAATTGAAGGGGGAATCAATTTTGCAGACAAAAAAAGGTTAAGAGATTTTATTACTACCAAGCCAGCAATGCAAGAAATGCTAAAGATACTGTTGTAAAAAGCAGAAACAGAAAGGGAAGAAGGAATACAGGCATAAAGAATAAAAATGGCTACAAACAAGTACTTACAAATAATAACCTTAAATGTAAATGGATTAAATGCTCCAATCAGAAGACATAGGATGGCTGAATGGATAAGAAAACATGACCCATACATATTCTGTTTTCAAGAGACCCACCTCAGAACAAGGGACTTACGCAGACTGAAAGTGAAGGGATGGAAAAATATTTTTCAGGAAAATGAAAAAAAAAAAAAGCTGGGGTAGCAATACTTGTATCTGACAAAATAGACCTCAAAGTGAAGGCCATAACAAG